TTTGTATATGGCCCATTTCTTGTTCATAGCCAGGCCCAATATACTATTGTATGTATATATATAGATTTATTAATGAGAAGAATTTACTGTGGGTTTCATTTCATTAGAATCCTATATATTCTACTAAACATGTTTGCATTTTTAAAATGCAAAAAAGCATAGAAAACATTTTTTTATGAGAGATAGAACACACTATAACTCTAAAGTTGATTAGTTTAATAAAATCTCTAGTTCAATTTCTTGTCATGCATGTCAACTAGGGAAGCATGCTCGTCTTCCATGTAGTGACTCATTTTCTGTTACCTTTGCGCCTTTTGATTTAATTCATTCAGATGTTTGGACTTCCCCAATTATGTCGTTTACTGATATTCGATATTATCTTTTGTTATCGGATGATTATAGTCACTATCTATGGGTTTATCCATTACATTCGAAATCTCAAGTGTTTCAAGTTTTTCTTAGATTTTCAGCTTTTGTCTTTACTCAATTTAGTGCTCGGATTAAAGCTTTTCAATGTGATAATGGTTGTGAATTTCATAATTTAGATTTTTCTAATTATTTTCAATCTAAAGAAATTCATCTTCATTCTTTTTGTCCCTCGACCCTCCAACAAAATGGAAAAGCTGAGTGTATGAATCGAACAATTCTCAATATGGTTCGATCTTTACTTTTTCAAGCAAAATTGCTTCTAGCCATGCCACCTAAGTGTCGCCTACTTCAAACTCCTCCAAATCTACTGCCCTTGTCCAGATTCTATTCTCAAGCAAGAGTAAAAGGTCTCTGCCTTTCCACCTTTCTTCACTACTCCACCTCCCTCTGCCGCTTGCCTCCCTTTGGTGTTGTTTCTCGACAATTACATGGTATGGTGACCTATTCACAAGTGGGTGTTTGAAAGCCAAAAATTTTACAATCCATGGTTCATACTCTCCTTGATTTGACAGAACCCAAGACTTTTAAGCAAGCACAACAATTTCCTAAATGGCAACATGTTATGAATGAAGAATATGTGGCACTTTTGCACAACAAAAGTTGGGTCTTCGTACCTCTTCCACACGATGCTAACATTGTGGGTTCCAAATGGGTATACCGTATTAAATAGAGAGCAAATGGTAGTATTGAATGGTACTGTCACGCCCCAAAACCCAAATTTGAGGCGCGACAGACGCCGTGCACTGGTGAGAGGGTCCCACAAATGCACAAGGCTCGGAACTTATCATATCACAATCTGATACCACCAAAATCTAAAGATAAAATCTTTAAAATTTGCTTTCATATCATAAAATTTCCAAATACACTCTAGCTTACAAGATCATGATTTATTTCTAAAATCTATATCAATCTCGAAATGGCTAGCCTTCTAACTCGTCACTTCCTGTGGTTTCCCTGTCCTCAGTTTTGCTTCCTGAAATGGTGGACAAGGAAAAACTATGAGATAAACTCAGTAAGTAAAATATGAAGTGCCTTTACTTAAACTTATAGCATGCCAACAAGTGCAATCACAAAAAACAGATACAGTACGGGAACGAAATAGACGTCTCCTCTATAGGTCACGGCCAGTGTTATAAATCTCCCACTGGCAGGCACACTATTTGCTAGTGTATAATCCCCACTAGCAGGGTCACTTGTACGAACCGGCTCTATCACTAACATGTCGACATGTGCTAGCGTATAATCCCCACTAGCAGGGTCACTAATAACATGACCACATTGGAGACAAAACAGGCAGAAGTTAACAGAAAAATCATAATTCACCAATCACTTTCAAATCATCAGGACAATCAATTAAATTTCAAGTAGGCATGCTCAATTTAATGAAAAGCATAAAAATTTCACTTCAAATCAGTCATACTTACTTTTGCATAAAACGGGCTTAATCCCGCCACCACTTCAAAAACAAATCAAAACATGCTTTTAAAAACTATACGTGCATTACCATAAATTTACTTACCTCACTCCCATAAAACCGAAGACTCAATCTCAGTGCTAAACTAACAGAACGATCAAGAACCTACTCAAAATATCCCAGAATTAATACCGTACTATCACAAATTCAACTGAAATCATCGTTAGGATCACCCCTAATCACAATGCTATTTCTATCAATCTCCACATTATCAGATATCTCCATATTCGTTCTTATATCACAAACTAATCATTTAAATCCCCGTTAATTGTTGGCCCTCGGTGTGTGAACAGTACCCGTGAACAGTAACTGTACTTCCTTAAATTGTCCAAAACACTAGCTAATTCACGGGATTTTCTCCACAAATCACAGCAGTAGCTAATTAACACTCAATCACATAAATCCCACTTGAATTAAGCTAAATCATGGTCTAATTACTACGAAAATTCATCCCCCTAATTCAATAAAATTCGGACAGCACATGGGGCATCAATTTATCAACCAATTTTCGAGAATTAAAGAAGCCAACCTACCAGAATTTTCCAGCTGCAGAACCGGACATGGCAGGGGGAAGAGGCCGGCGGCAACTGCAGAAAATTCAGGGGGAAATTCGGGAAATCTACCCAAAATTCAAGAAACCAAGAGCAATTAAGGTAAACCCAAGCCAATTCAAAGCTAAAGAGATGATTTCATGGCTGTTCTTACCGAAAAAATGCCCAGAAATCACCCACAATCAAGAGCAGCCGGCAATGAGGAAGGAAGGAGCAGAGCAGATCTAGGATTTCCAGCAGGGGGGGTAAGGTTTCAAGGCTCCAATCTTGTTCTTGAACAAGAAAAGAAGGCCAAAACCAAGCTTCCTCACCGGTTTCTCAAAGGCTGGTGCCGGGTTCCCTTTTTTTTTTTGTTCGGGCTGCAACAGGGTCGGGAAGAGCAGAAGCACGGGTGAGGAAGAAAAGAAAGAAGAGAAAAAGAAAAAGAAAGAAGCTGATCCTTATTCAATTATTTTCCTCTTTTAAGCTCCTCAAGTTTCAAACTTTTAGTTATTAAGCCCAAAATACTATTTTTCCACAATTAAGCCCCTAACTAAATGCTAAATATCACAAAATTTTGGGGTATTACAGGTACAAAGCATAGCTTGTCGCTGAAGGATATACACAACAGCCTAGGATAGATTATGATGAGACCTTTAGTCCGGTGGTGAAACTAGTCACCATTCGTATAGTTCTTGCTCTTGCTCTTTCCAAATCTTGGCCAATTCACCAGCTTGATGTTAAAAAAAGCTTTTTTGAATGGGTAATTATATAAACTTGTCTATATGTCTCAGCCACCGAGATTTGTTGATCCGCAGTATCCTAATCGCATTTGCTTCCTTCAACAAGCACTTTATGGTTTAAAGCAAGCTCCTCATGCATGGTTTCAATGGTTTGCAACCTTTTTCTATACTTGTGGTTTTATTCAGGCATACTCTGATTGTTCTATGTTTCTATATCGCTCGAATGGTATGCTAGCTATTGTTCTTTTATATGTTGATGATATTATCTTAACTACCTCTACTCAGCCTCTTTTGGATCATATTATTGCTTTGTTAAAGAAGGAATTTCTGATAACAAACTTGGGTGTTCTCAATTATTTTTTGGCATTATAGCTAGATTTAATTCAGACGGTCTCTTTCTCTACCAAACTAAGAATGTGGCGGATTTGTTAGACCGCACTGGTATGTTTGATTGCAAAGCAGTTTCTACTCCTATGACACCAAAGCACAAGTTGGCTACTTCTGACAGTCCTCCCTACTATGATTCTACTCAGTCTCGAAGTATTGTTGGTGCTTTACAATTCTTAACTTTTACTTGTCCGAATATTACCTTTGCTGTTCAACAACTATGTCAATATATGCATGCACCAACTGAGAATCACTTTCAAGTTGTGAAACGGATACTTCGTTATTTGTAAGGTACTCTAGACTATGGCCTTCAATTATTCAAAGATTTTTCTCCTTCCTTGCACATTTATACTGATGTCGATTGGGCTAGATGTTTGGATAGTCGTCGCTCTACCTCTGGCTATTGTTTGTTTTTTGGTCGATTTCTTATTTCTTGGTCTTCTAAAAAGCTACCAACTATTGCTCGATCTAGTGCAGAGGTAGAATATAGAGCTATGGCTAATCTTGTTGCTGAGGTGGTTTGGGTTTGTCAATTATTGGCACAGTTATGGATATTTCTTTCTTTTCCTCCTATTCTTTTTTGTGATAATATTAGTGCTCTCTATATGGCTCTTAATCCTGTGTAGCATTAGTGGACAAAGCACATTGAGATTGATATACATTTTGTTCATGAGTGGGTTGCTTCTCGTGCCATTCTTTTGCAACATGTTCCTACTTCATTACAGTGCGTTGACATTCTCACCAAAGCTTTATCTACTTCTGTTTTTTGTTCTCAACGATCCAATTCGTGTGTTCTTCACTATCCCGCACAAATTGCGAGGGGATGATAGTGTATTAGGACAATTATGTAATTTGACTATGTACATACATATAAATATGTAACCCTAATTCTATTGTAAATGAGAATCATAATTATTCACGACCATAAATACGTTGTGTTCAATTCTCAGTTTTTTTACATTTTATTAAAAATATGTAATAATTGTAATAGTTAATTATCTTTATTTTTTTAAAAAAGTGTTTTTTCATTTATTTATTATTATTATTATTTTATGAATCCTCCCGTCTATTGTGCTTAGTACTTTGTCCCCAAACAATATGGTCAACATTCATTGCCTAAAATGGTCAACACAAATTTTCAATTTCCCTCCCCTTTGGTGGGCCAAAAATGGTTGCATTTTCCCTATTGTTTATGAGATTCAGGGGATGGGACAGCTATTAAAAAAGAGTCAAATTTATTAATAAATAAATATTATTTTATAAATTAAATATATAATTTAATTTTAAAAGTTAATATTTAAAAAAAATAATTTTTTAATACATTAAAGCAATATAAATAATACATAATTAAAATTATTTGAAGAAAAATTAATTTTAAATTTCACAAAAATTCGTTTAAAATACTCTACCCCTAACCACCGACAATTCAAAAGGGCATGGAACAGATTGTTAGACAAAAAAATTAAAGAAGGGATGGGACAGATTGCGTGTGGATGGGCCCTTTGTCTGGAAAACATGTTTGCATTTTTGCAATGAAAAAGAGCGTGTAAAACATTTTTTTCAACATGAACAAAATATGCCATAATTTCAAAATTGATTTATTAAAAATTAAATAAAATCTTATATATTTTATTAGACTCACCTACCCATAACTAATGTGGAATAAGAACTTCATAATCAGGACTCTTATGTAGCGAGAACATGGTAAACATGTCCGTCCTTTTTTGACAAGGATAAAATAGGTTATAATTTTAAAATTGATTAATTTAAAATTATGTAAAATCTTATATATTCTACTAAATTTACACATCCACAACCAACGTGGGATAAGAACCCCACAATTGAGTGTAAAACATATTTGATCATTGAAAGACCAAGTCGAAACCTATACTTGGAAGACTAACCGACCACTTTGATGTTAATTGAAATGACTCAAGATGAAATCAAAAGAGATGTGAAAAGATGTTAATTATAGGTTAAAGTCTACATTTAGTCTATTACCTTATTAATTTTGAAATTTTTAATCTTTCACCTTATAATATAAAGGTTTTAGTCTTTAAACTTAAAAGTTTAAAGATTTTAACTTTTAAACTAACATAATTTGGTAACTCTGTATTAAAATAAAAATGAAATATTTACAAGATCAATCCTCAAAGATAAAAAATATAAAAATTTAGTTCCAATAGTTTAAAAATTAAAAAAAAATAGTAAACTAAAAAGAATTAATAGGTGACTTTATCACATATACTAAAATAGTATTAGATATTTATAATTAAATCAAGTGATCAACTCAATTTAAAGAAAGAATTTTGTTAAGATTAAAGAAAATTTTTTAGCCAAATTAAAACAAAAAGTCCAAGAGACTAAAATAATATAATTAAGAAATTTTTTTAATCTCAATCAAATTTTTTTCTTTAAATTAAGTTAATCACTTGATTTGATTGTAAATATTTTAGTACTGTTTTCGTGTATATGGTAAAGCTATTCAC